GAATCTTTATTTTTATTTTTATTTTATAATTCTCTTTTTACGTTAGGGTGTTCTTTGACTGTGCGCAGGCTACAGGTTAGATTGGTGCATGATCCGATCTTCTGGGAAGGAATTGCAACCATACGAACTAGAAATGGAGAAACATCTACGACAGTTGAGGAAGGAAAGAAATCTCTCCGAGAATATAGAAACAGTTGGGCAATCCTCAACCAAAGAAAAGATGGCGAGAGATGATGATAATGTTAATTTGGCTGCGAGAGAGGAAACCCAACTCAGAGAGAAAGCTGCAAGAGATGCTGAAGAAGCAGCACTCAGAGATGCACAAATTTCTTATGAGGAGGAAAGAGCTCAAAGAATAGCTCAGAATCATCCTGTGGGTGCAGACCAGTTATATTCTATTACCCACCTAATTGTTATGTATTATAGTTAACCCCTTTGAGCTTGTAATCATATTTTCTTTGGCAACTACATTACAAGCCTTATCCAATTATTTGAATTGACAATCTATTTGAACCAATTACCTCTCGTGAGCACTTGAAATTATTATGAACTTTATAAAAGTTGAAGTGTGGGGTGGTTGATTTGGTTTTTGAGTAGAACTATTGAAATAAGGAGAAAGGTGCAATGAATTGAAAAAAATAAGAGCCACTTGAATTGAAAAAGAAAAATAAAAAAAATAGTTGTATTGTTGTGAACGAGATTCATTGATAAGTGGTAACTCTTGATGTAATGGTGCTTAAATAAACTGGGGAGTTAATGAATGTTGATGTCAAGGTGGATTATGGTTTGACATAAGTGTGGGGTTTTGAATGTTAAAGTGTATGTATTAAAGTGCTTAGGGAGGTGTAGTTACTCTTATATCTAAATGTATCCTACCCGTCCCGTAGCCTACATTACAACCAGTTAAAAGTCCTACTTGATCCTTGACTGAATGAGCTCAATTAGTAGAGTAGTACATTACGGGCAAGCCTATGGTACATCTTTTGTGGCACATAAATGTCGTTTCTAAGAGTGAGTGAATTCTTTCTATTTTGAGTTCCTCATTGTTCTTGAATTTTATTATTTGTGGAATTACTCTCTTTTGTTGTGTGATGGCACTTGATTCATGAAGGAAAGGTAATTCTTGATCTCTATATTAGAGTAAGTGAGTAAGTTGTGAATAATGCATGGTGCTTGTGAGTTAAATTTTGAGGTGAAGATGTTAAACTATTGTGCTTAGTCTATTTTAAATATTCTTGGTGTGATGAGTTAGGAGAGTTACTTAGTAAGGTTGTGTCTATATAAAGTGTGGTTTGATTGCTCGAGGACGAGAAATGGTTTAAGTGTGGGGTGTTGATGGTAGGCTATAATCTCATGTTTTAGTCGATTATTACATTCATATTTACTGCACTTTAGTTGAGTTTGAGCCTTAATCGCTAGTGTTTTGCACTAATTGTGTGTTTTATGCCTTGTAGGAGTGATTCCGATCTATGTAGATATTATGAAATAAATTCAAGTGATTTGGATCTTTGAAGTCTGAGTAAAATCCCAAGGAATTAAGCCGGGATCGTGTTCGGGGATCAACGGATGATAGTTTAGAACGAACGAAGAATCGAGCAGGCATATTGTGCAGTGTCTAGTAAAAGGCACATAACCTTTCGCTTGGACCTCCGTTTGGGCTTCACAATATATTGTTAGAAAGCTAATTCAAAGGGCTACAATTTTCATGTTTTACGTCTTTTTCAATTCCCAACAAAACATGGTGAAAAGTGCATGGCAAGTACGCGGCCACACACTGACCGCGCATATGGGGCAGAACAGACCGCGCATATGGGGCAGAACAGTGTGAAAAGTGCGCGGCCAAGTGCGCGGGCACACTTCCAGGTGCGCGGCCGCGCACGTCCAACTACGGAAAAGTATCCTTTTTTGCATAGGAGAAGGTGTATTTATTTGGGCCCGACCCTACTTGGTATTAAAATGGAATTTTGAGGACTTTTGACTTAATTTAGACCTAAGGAAGCTAAGGAGAAGAGGGAGAAGCAAGGGCACAAGGATTTCACCATTCATCCTCACTCAAGACAAGGGTTTGGATGTTTTATGTTTTTCTTTGACTTAAACTTATTTGTGATGAATTTCTCTATATCCATGGAGTAATTCTTCCTTAAGGATTGATGGATTTGGTGTTTTGAGAATTGTTTGTGGATATTAACTCTAGTTTTATGTATTGAATCATTTTGGGTATTTTTATTGTTGCATATATATTCACTTATTTATGTAATCGAAAGAGGCATAATTTATGATATTCTGCATTATCTTATTGGTTGAATTCATTGATTCTTATTATTAATCGAAATAGGCTAGTTGAATTAATGTTTAGACCTAGTTAGGAGGATAATCGAAAGAGGTTCTCCTAAGGATCAATCCACTACGAATTCTTGCATATATTCACCAAGCTTAACTTAGTTCATATCGTAAGGTTGAGATTTAATCGAGAGAGGAGTTTCTACTAAATGTTTGAACATAATAGAGTGAATTCGAGATACTCACTTGAACCATAGAAGTGAAGTAACTAGTGTTAATTCTCAAACAAGTATCTTATACCAATCCAATCAACCCCTATTTTCTCCCATTGATATCTTATATCTTTCCCTAGTTAATTTTAGTTTTAATTCACATAATTCTCAACTGTTGATCATCTGGTATAGCAATCTAACTACAAACTATAATAATGCTGTTTAACTCCAATCCCTGTGGATACGATATTATATTTTACTATATTCGACTAGCAAGCATAATTTTATGTTGTGGTTTTAGCCCGTCACCTGCCATCCTCAGTCTCGGTCCTCGTCGATGCTCGAAAAAGGAGCCTTGCTTGCTCAGCAGACGAGCTTGATCAGTCCCACTCGAAAAATTTAGGGGCTATATAGGCGGAGTAGATGGTCGAGGGTGAACCAAGGGTTTTCAGTATTATCCAAAAAATGACGTAAGAGGATCACGATCCTCCAAAACAATGGGTAGATTTGCCCACCTTTTGCATAAAGCAAGGACTATGGGTTCTACCGGGGCCAGCGTGAATGTGTAAGTGTAAACACTTAAGTACCCCTCCACGTGAGTAGTAATATCGTCATTGGGCCCGGGGATGACCACGTCCTTACCTTCCCATTTACAGTACGCTCGGACTATAGGTAAGGTTTCTTCAGTGACGGAGCATATGTATCTCCATGCTCCCTCGCCTCAGTCTTGTTGACTAGAAGCCTTCTCGACCTTGAAGTCATCCCCGATATAGCAGCCCCCGGGTATGAAGCTCTTCTTGGGAGGCTCTTGAGTCACCTTGGGGGCGGCCACCTCGACACCCGTGGTCGGGTTGGAAGACGAGGGAGCAACTTGTTGAAGTACGGACTTGGAAGATTTAGCCATCGTGATCTAGGAAAATATGAAGATTTGAAAGAAAATATGAAGATTTGAAGGAAAAGTATGAAGATTTGAAGAAAAATATGAAGATTTAAAGGTGGGATGAAGATATGAAGATCTGGGTTAGAAATCCAAGGAAAGTATATGAGTATTAGAGATGAAGATATGAAGGTTCAAGAAGCGATGTATAAAGATTTGAAAATGTTAAAAGCCGTTAGAAAGTTCAAAGGTAAAATCTAGAATTTGAAAGTGAAAGAAGTAAAAAAGGTTGAAGCTTTTATAGAGGAAAAACAATCAACACATGACGTTTCACATTCGAACGCAGCCAGCCGGTGACTAACATGTGTTTGAAGTTAAAACGACGCGACTGATGGGACATTTCGATTTATCCGTCACCTCAGTTATGATGTACGAAGGAAGGAAACGAGGTTCATCTATCATTTTTCATCGTTTCGGCAAACATACTCTTTGGAAAATGAGGGGACTATTTGTATGCGGATAAAATCGGGGATAACGCATATCCCGATTTTTTGGTGAAGGAAACAGAATGAGGGCATGAACACACGAGATTGAAATCGAGGCTGGGACCCCTTTGTATCGACCTCGGAAAATACGATAAACGGTTACACACAATGGATAGAGAGCCGTGATATTCACACCCAACCGGATATCACGGCGCGGATCTCGCTCGATGTTGGTTACGGATCAGTAATTAACAAGAAAGGAAGATTTTTATCCTTTTTAGATTTATACTATGGATGAAACTCTCCTACTATATAAAGGAAAAGTTTTTCTTTTGTAAGACATATTGTAACACACAAATCAAAGCATAACAAATTCATTTTCTGCCTTTTAGTTACTGCAGAAGTTCTTATTTGATTATTCTGTTCTCTATTCACAACTGGGCTCGAACCAAAGGTCTAATCGAGGACAAATTCACCGTTTAACTTAGGTTCGGGCTAGGCCATAACATTATAACTAGTTTGGTCATTTATTTTATCTTTAACTCGTTTATCTAACATTCTTGATTATTTGTGTTGAATCAATCCACGTATTTTTAAAATTGCGTACAAATTTAATTATTATCCGATTCGAGGGTAAACAATACACTTATTTTATAGAGTATTCTTTCTTCTTTTTCTTCTTCTTTTCTTATTTGAGTTTCAATTTGAAATTCCAACCAAAACTAATTACAGGGGTGGGTTAGCGGAGGAAGATAAGAGTCGTGGGTGGGGGGAGCTGATAAAGGTGGAGTGATTATTACATATTTTATGCCTATTATTAAGGGATCTTCTGGTTTTAAAAGATTTTATATATATAATGTAATTAAGAGGGAGTCTCTATAAAAGTGGTAAATAAGTTTGCAATTAACATATATACATGAATGTTCCAACAATAAATATAGTTTCGCTTTAGAGAGCAATTTTGTTTTTGGGGGAAAAAAGTATTCTAAAAAGTAATGGAGTTGGGTGGAAAATTAAATACTTTTTTTTTTTCTAAAAAAGTTGTTCAAAATCAAATCTAATCCGGGGTCAAATTTAAATTTTAAACTAAAAAAGGAGAAGAAAATTATAATATGCAAATATGTGTGCATATAATAAAAAGGGGAACAAAAAAGGAAGAGAAAAAGGCCCTTATTCCTTCACCTCGCATCCTATGATTTCTCTTCCAAAACCCTAAAAGAAAGTCCTTCTTGCCATCTCTCTCTGACGCCATGGCCTCAATGCATTTCGCTATATTTACTCTCTTCACAATGCTCTTCATAAACCCACATCCATCGTCAGCTTCACCTTTCCCCATTTCTGTAAACGAAAAAAACATTTACGACATTCTCAACTCCCATGGCCTCCCTGTTGGTCTTTTACCCAAAGGAATTACCAATTTTTCAATGGATCCATCATCGGGACACTTCGAGGTGCATCTACCGCAATCTTGTGCTGCCCAATTCGAAACCCATTTACGGTACGATAGCACCGTGTGTGGGACCCTCAATTATGGTCAGATTTTAAACATTTCTGGTGTTGCGGCTCAGGAATTATTTCTTTGGTTCGCTGTCAAAGGGATCCGTGTAGATATTCCTAGTTCTGGGTTGATTTATTTTGATGTTGGCGTTGTCTCTAAGCAGTTTTCTCTTTCTTTCTTCGAGACCCCACGTGATTGCACCATTACGGATAATGAACTGCCTGAAAATCTCGTTTTGTTTGACAATCGCGGACGAACTATTGAGGTTTGATACAATTTCTTACCTATGTGTGCCTGCTTATTTGCAGAATGTTTAAATGCCCGTCTTGTTTGGGCATTTGGGGCTTTTC